CCCTCTCTCTCTCTCTCTTTCTTTCTTTCTTTCTTTTTTTCCATACAAGGATTGAACCCAGGGGTGCTCAACCACTGAGCCACATCCCCAGCCCTTGTAACAGTTCAAGAAGTATTATCAGTTCTGCTCGGTGAAGCGTACCCTTTGTGAGCTGACATTATTTTTTAAAGAATGAGGAATGTTTTTATTTATTCTTTATGGGTATACATGACAGTAGATATATTTTGACATATCATATATACATGGAGTATAATTTCCCATTCTGTGGCTGTCCATGTTGTGGAGTTACACAGGTCATGTATTCATATATGAACACAGGAAAGTTATGTCCAATTCATTCCACTGTCTTTCCCATTCTCAACCCCCCCATCCCCCCTCCCCCATTCAATCCAGTGAATCTCCACTCCTCCCTCCCCACTGCCTATTATGAGTCAGCATCTGCACATCAGAGAGCATTCAGTCTTCTTTTTGTGTGTGTGATTGATTTATTTCTCTTAGGATGACAGCCTAAGTTCTATTAGGCTCTATTCTTTTACCAGCAAATGCCATAATTTCATTCTTCTTTATGGCTGAGTAATATTCCATTTTGTATACGCACTACATTTTCTTTACCCATTCATCTGTTTGGAGGTTGAGATGCTATGAACTCTTGCCTGTGCCTGCAGGGGCATTGGGAATGGGTTCCCTTCAGTGGAATGGGCTGGCTGAGAAATAAAAGCTAAGAAAAACAGAATGACCAACAAAAACCCACAGGACACAGAAAGTAGTTTCAAAACAGAGGCAGGACAGGCGAGCCAGTCAGAGGATGGAGCTTCTGTATTCTGGCAAAACGGAGCCTGCGCCTGCTCTATTTATATCAGGGACATCAAAGGCGGGAATAAGGTTTCGAGGGCGGAGTCTTGCTTCCTGGTGTCTTGCAGGCAGCAGGTTGACTGACATCTTGGCAGGTCACACCCATCTCAGGTGCCGTGTGGGATCTGACAGAGCTTGAGAGGACGTTCACGTGCATCGGGTGATCAGTCCCTGTGGGGGCGCCACGGGAGGTTCCCAGTGACAGACTTGTCCCCTCATCAGGCCATGATGCACGACATAGTCCAGCCCAGGGACGGCGTGTGACAGTGAACACTGATGTGGCTGCGTCACTGTAGGATGCTGATTTTGAGTCCCTTGGGTATAAACTGAGGAGTGGGGTGGCTGGGTCAAACGGTGGTTCCATTCCCAGTTCTCTGAGGAACCTGGGAGCTGACATTTTGGCTTAGGTTTTTTGAGAGAAGACGATTCGCATGTCTTCGCATACCTAAGTGGGGTCAGTGGTCAGAACTGAGTCATGTCAATGCACTGGGCACTGCTTGACCAGACCCCATCCTGCCGCGTGGTGGTCTCTCAGAGTCCCTTGACAGGTCGGGTTGGTCTGGCCCCAGCCCACAGCCAGAGGCCAACCTTCTCAGTCCTGTGTCCACTTGTGTCCACTTGTGTCCACTTGTGTCCACTTGCTGGTTTTCCCATCGCTGCTTCTGCTCCATGTTTCAGTCATTGTCATCTTGCCTGCCACCCTCCTGGATTGTCCTGTGATCTGGGGACGTCACAGTTGGCCTCGGTGTCACTGGGCTTTGGCCGAGTGCCCAAGGGCTTCTTGAAGAAACGAGCACAGTACTTGGACTGTAAGTGGACACACTCCTCGCCATTCTCTCGTGGATATTCAGAGACTTTATTTTATTTTTTTCATATTTCCTGCTTCTTTGGCTGAGCCCCAAATAATCACTATGGCCAAAGAAATGTCCTGTGGATGATCACGTGTGATCAGGGCGATGTTGAGAATAGAGAAAGAGACAAAAACCAAGGCTACCGGGATTCCACGGTCGACTGTGCGCAGGGGAAGGAAGCTGGACTCTCCTCCCGCCCTGCAGCCCTGGGGTTCCTAGGACACTGGGGTCCTCCGTAGGGAGACGCTGGGCCCCTCCCTCTCGGATCCCACCGCGGGTCCTGGAGCCGTGGCCACAGGCGGCTGCCGTGCTGACCTGCCACCTGCGCTGGCTCCTCCTTGGAGATGGTCTGCTCTCCCTCCATCTTCACTTCCCCGGCTCTTCCCTCTGTCCCGCAGCCCGAGTCCCAGGGTGGACACAGCAGTGAGCACAACATGCTGTAGAATGAATGGATGGACTTCTCCTGGCAACCGGTGCAGCAGCCAGACCCATGACTGTCCCTTCTGTTTTTCACGTAAGTCCTCATGACCCAGCTTTTGTTCTGAGCCCGCTTGGCCCTCTGTCAACACGTTAGACGGCCAGCCCTGGGTGCTGAGTGGACAGTGAACCCTGACATTTACAGGACTAACTAGGTATTCGCCCCTATTCTCCAGCCCCTTTTATTTCCCCTTATTTTTTTTTTAATACTGGGGATTGAACCCAGAGGGGCTTAACCACTGAGCCACATCCCCAACCCTTTTACTTTTATTTATTTTTTAATTTTAAGACATGGTCTCCCTAAGTTTTTTAGGGTCTTACAAAGTTGATAAAGCTGGCCTCGAACTTGTGATCCTCCTGCCTCAGCCTCCCAAGATTACAGGCGTGTGCTGTCACACTCTCTCTGGGCTCTTTTTGCAAACTCCTAATGTACTGTTTCTCTTCTAAACATTTGTCAATGTTACTGGTCAGTGCTGTCTGATTATCTTATACCTCAATCACTGATGTTCCCAGAGATCACAAAAATCTGCTAGTGGGTATTCAGGCCAGCACATTCCACGGGGCATATCAGGCTCAACTGACCATAGACTTCTCCCGGATCAGCATTCCCATTCACACTTGCAGAAAGAGGGCTTTTGTTTGTGCAGAGGGATTTGGCCTTCAGCAAGGGTTTGTTAAGGGTTATAATGTATTAGGCACTGTGCTAGGTGCTTGGGATATGCTCCATCCACCAGCAGACGGAATCCTCCCCCTCCCAGAGCCTGCACCGCCAGGGAAAGACGTAAACCCAGGCCCAATATCGCCATGTTAGATGAGGACGATGCACAGAGAGGGGAAGGAAAGGGCAGGGTGAAGGGTCAGCGGCAGGCGGCATCACAGGAGGTGAGGGAGGTAACACAGCAGATTTCTACGCACAGAACATTCTAGAAAGAAAAATCACCTCCAGCAAAGGCCCAAGGACAGGAGCAGGCCTGGCAGTTGGCTGGAGCAGAGTGAGGGGCGGAGAGAGGAGGGGCCTGAGCCAGCTGGCCGGAGAGATGGCCACGGGGATCCCGGAGCCATGGGTGATGATTTGGGCGGGTCCTGTGATGGCCAAGGGGAGCTACTCCGGGTACAATATTGAAAGATGATGTGCTCTATTTAGTCTCTTTGTGCTGTTGTGACAAAAGGCCTTAGACCAGGTGATTCATCAACAGCAGAAAGGTGCTGCTCCCAGTGCGGGAGTCTGGGAAGTCTGGGATCGGGGTGCCATCGGGCTTGGCCAGTGGCCTCCCGAAGCCCCACGTCTCCACCCCACCACAGTGAGATGGTGTTAGGCACGGGAATTCGGGGGGCACATCAGGACCACAGCAAAATGACTGCATCTTTTTAGATCATTACCAAAAAGAGAACCGAGCTTCCCCACTTTGGATTCTCGTCATTTCTTAGGGTCTCATGGTGCAAGAAAAGGGGGCGGGGGAGGGGACGGAATCACTGGCAGCCTTTGGGACATTAAACTGCAAAAGTGGTTTGCATTCGAACCGAGCACAGAAGTGGCATCCCTCAAGGTGCACCTGCGGGAATCCCAGGCGGTTCCCAACACGTTTGCTCAGCATGTTGGTTCATCAAGGTGACACTGACAGCCACGTGTTGTGCAGACACACGTGTACCCCAGATTCGGCCAGAGTCACGCTGCTGCGGAATTCAGATGCA